CCATAGACCCTTACAAACCTACATTGCTTGGGTTCCTGAGTACTTCCTTATCTATGGGCCTTTGAATTTAGGTTTGTACACCCGAAGCCCGAGCCAAAATCAAACACGCCGAACCCAAAAGAAAATGCCACCATAAATCAAAGCCTCAAGCCCTAAACACTGAACCCTAAACCCAAATCCACAACCCGACACCTCAAGCCTGTCATCCCGAAGCCCCGTTAAAGAAACGGTTTAAAGCACCGCAGACCAGTTTTAAAAGGGGAGGGAGCTGCAGTTCAACGGGGTCCTCGTGTTTAGTGCCGAAACGTCCCACATGAAGGCTCCCAAACTTGGCTCGGATCACTTGTTCTATTACTAGTAATATTACATTACTATTACAGTTTCCCTCAACCCTAAGCCCTAAACCCTAAACTTTTTAACTCTTAACCTCAAACTCGAATCTTCTGCCCTGGACCCAAAGCACCCAAAAAGGATAGCGAGGGGGGTCGGAGAAGCCTTCGGAAAGGCCAGGGTGGAAGGTTCAGGGTTCGGGGTTTAGAGTTTAGGGCGTTTAGGGTTTGGGGGTTTCAGAGTTTAGGGGGGCGTTAGGGGTTTTGGGCTGGGGTTTAGAGATTTAGGGCACCCCGATGCCCTGCCAACCCTACGAGACCCCGGATAGGGACCTATTGCGGCAAGATCATCAGAGACTCCAAAACCCCTTAATTAAGGAATCGACCTTAAATCTTTTTAGGGATCCTATTATCATTTACGGTATATTCCTTAATTAAGAGGTTTTGGAGTCTCTGGATCATCTTTAAGACAAGAGGGACCTCGGACACCCAGAACAGCGCCCCGCCCTACACACTTAACTCGGACCCTCGTCGCACAGCGCCGTGCAAGAATCCCTGTTAGAATCATAGAGCGCTTTCTGTAGAACCCTTATCTCGCCCTAAACCCCTATAGAAGCATTGTAGAACCTTCTATTGTGCGGTATGCAAATATGCCCAAAACCCTATACTCTCAACTCAAAACCCCAGGCCACGAAAAACACACACCGAAACGCAGCAAGTCCACTCAAAGGAACCCTTACCCTTTCCAGGAACCCCGCAGCCTAAACACCTCAAACTCTAAACCCTAAACCAAAACTGTTCAAGCAACCTGCCTCAAACCCCCCCAGGCCCAAAAACCCTAAACCCTAAACCCTAAACCCTAAACCCTAAACCGTAAACCCTAAACCCTAAACCCAAGCCCCTAAACCCATCCCGGGAGGTTCCACCGATCCCCCGGAGTCGCTCCAGGCGCTTGAGGCGAAGCTAGCGAGTCGGTTTAAGAGGGGGTTTCGGGCTTAGGGTTTAGGGTTTAGGGTTTAGGGCTTTCTTAGTGGGTTGTTCAGGGGGTTTTATGTTTTTTTCGGCGTTCTCAGGGTTTTGGGTGTTTTCAAGTGCTTCCTGGTTGTTTTTCCAGAGTCTTTTGGGCTTAGGGGCGCTTAGGGGTCTGTTGGGATTTAGGTTTTCAGGAATAGGATTGAATAAGGTTGGGGGTTTAGGGCTTGTAGTGTTGCTTTATAAGGGTTCGGAGGTCCAGTTCGCGCGTCTGGAAGGGCGTTCTGTCTCGAGGTAGACTGGGCGCTGTGAGAGGTTGCGTGCAGCCGCTACGTACACGTAGTCGCCGGTACAGCAAACCCTAAACCCTACACCCTAAACCCTAAACCGTTTCGGCATGTCCTGGTCTGAAAGCTTTGCTTTGGTTTGCATTCGGCGGGAGGAGCTGAACAAAATCCTGACTGCGCCATCGCTGATGCTGGCGAGTCTCAAGCAGCAGCAGGCAGGGATGCTCCTGACTCACGGTTCGAAAAACTCTGGTCGTTGAGGGAGGAAGAGCAGTCTCAGCTAATCTGAAACCCTAAACCCTAAAGCCTAAACCCTAAACCCTAAACCCGAAGGAAAGAGCTCATGTCTCAAAACTTGGCTCTCTGTTACGGGCCAGTTGCAGCACTTTGTTTCAGGTCGGCTCCATGAAAAGCGGTATTTGTGCCATGAACCGCGGTCTCGTAATGTGGGGCCCACGACCAGATCCAACTTTTTCTGCGTTCCCCCCCAAGTTGGGTGGTTGTCAAAATTATGGTCCCTTTTTGGGTCCTTATTATAATACGGCACCTATTATTTAGGGTATCCCAAAAGGGACCATAACTTTGAAACTACCCCAATGAGTCTGTTCTATGGCCCGTACGTCTGCATCCTCCGCGGAAGCATCGATTTCCAGAAGTCGGTCGCTGGCCCAGGCAGGTGTCAATACTGCACTGTGGGAGCTCGAGCAACTCGGCTGTTCACCTGCTTACCCTAAACCCTAAACCCTAAACCCTAAACCGGGTTTCAAGGCATCTAGACAGGTTAACGCTTGAACCGTTTTGCTGCGTTTTGTTTAGGAGACTGCGACCTTGATCCTGTCCTCCTGAGTTCCCTCCTACGGTGTAGTTGCACTACTCAAAGGCCGCAGAAACCATCGGGAACCGAATCATCAGCCGAGACAGAAGCCTTTCCCAATTCCCCTCTAGCCCTTGCCCTAAACCGCAACAGAACATGCCCTAAACCGTCATACACGGGCATGAGGAATCAGTAGTTCTATTCCTCTAGCCTTAGGGTTCGATAACATACTCGTATTACAAGACCTCCGCAAAAGTAGACGGCTAACCTAACCCAAGACTCCAACCCCAATTCAGGGGATCTTAATGATCAGCACAGGGTTTCGGAAGATGTTACCATGGCATACTATAGTTATATAAGTTATCCAGGGACTGTACAGGAATATCGTTGCTTATTGATTATTTTTTCACGTTTTGTATTACAACAATTGCTGCTACTACTACTACTACTACTACTACCACCACCACCACGACTACTACGACGACGACGACGACTACTACTACTGTTATTACTGTTGTTATTCGTGTTTTTCTTGTTCTTATTGTTATCGTTATTGTTCTTGTTATTATTGTTATTATTGTTATTATTGTTAGGGTTTTTGCTACTAAAGTTCTTATCCTTACTAATATTATTAATACTACTTTATCGTTATTATTCTTATCATTACAATTACCATTCTTGTTGTTCGTATTATGCTGATGATTATTATTGTTACGCTTACTCTTGTCAGTAAGATGAACCTAAACCCTAAACCTGTCCTGCCGTGAAGGCAAAGTCTCACACGGTCCCGTGCAGCGATGACGTCGGTGGCCCGCGGGGTGCTGCGGAGCCAGGAGGGGAAAGCTTAGGGTTTAGGGTTTAGGGAAACTGTTGCTACCGTTGCTGCTGCAGTTGCTGCTGCTATACTACTACTACTACTACTACTACTACTACCACCACTACCACTACCACCACCTTAACCCGATGACAGCAGATCCCAGGAGGAGGGGAAGCCGGAACACGATCCCGCCAACGTTGACGAGGCTTTCGTAAGACCGGGCTGCCAGGGTCAGTCCCTATCCTATCGGGTTTAGGAATTATGTAGGGTTTAGGGTTTAGGGTTTAGGAGTAGGTTTCAGAGCTATGTTATGGGGTTCAGGTTTCGGATAGAGAGGGAGAGTGGAGGAGACATCGCCCACCGGCTTCAAGCTCCCATTCTTTGAGTTGTCGCGTGGTCACAACTCCTGAAAGCGGGCTGCTTCCCCTGCCCATCTTTTGAGCGCCTGGACAGGGAAGTCGAGGTAAGCCATATAGGAGTTTCAGAACATGAGGAGCCCTCTCTCGCTCTCTCTCTCTCTCTCTCAATATGTATATTATATAAATATATGTATTTATTACGCTTGTACGTACTTATATATGTATATATATATATATATGTATATAGAACGCATATGAATGTATATACACACATCTACATCTGCATCTGCATCTGCATCTGCATCTGCATCTGCATCTACATCTACACCTACATGTACATATATGTACATGCATACACACATAGCCAGAGCATGCATTATCACAGACGTGTATATATATATATACACACATATGTATATATACCTGTCTATATATATATATATATATATATATTCATATTTGTGCATCGAAATAGACCCAAAGTGCAAGATCCTGAGTTTTAAGGATCTCCCAAACTGTCGGAAGCCACAACTCGGGCGCTGACACCAGGCCGCTGACAGCGTTCCACGCGGCGGCTCTATGGAGGACAGAGGTTTAGGTTTTTAGGGTTTAGGGTTTAGGGTTTTAGGGTTTCTGGGTTTTAGGCTTTAGGGTTTCTGGGTTTTAGGCTTTAGGGTTTTAGGGTTTCTGGGTTTCTGGGTTTTGGGCTTTAGGGTTTTAGGCTTTAGGGTTTCTGGGTTTTGGTTTTTAGGGTTTTTTTAGGGTTTAGGGTTTTAGGCTTTAGGGTTTCTGGGTTTTAGGCTTTAGGGGTTTAGGTTTTTAGGGTTTAGGGTTTTAGGGTTTTAGGGTTTAGGGTTTTCGTTTGAGGCATTGGAAGTCAAAGTCCAAGAGGCCTAAGGGCCTAAGCCGATAAACCCAAGTCCTGAGCCCT